CCAGACCGCCAGTGTGGCTGGATCTCTCAGCCCCACTCAGATTTTGCACCCCTGCACATACATCTGACAACCCTCACCTCTTCCCACTCCTTTTTAGGATGGGAAAAGAAGGAACCTTCAAACCCAGAATGTGGGCAGGGGTTCCTTAGCTGCAAGCTTAAGGCAGAACTGGTTCTGGTTAGATGGCAGAGAGAAGTCCAGTGGTTATAGCACCTGTGGGAGGGAAGTGTATGAAGGTGATGGCCCCAGGGTCTTTGCCCCAAGAAAGAACCTTAGGCCAAGAGAGGACGTGGGAAGTGCAGAGCCCACTTCAGCCTCCCAAAGCACTGGGATTACAAGTGTGAGCCACCGCACCCAGCCCAGAAATATTTTATTAGCACATGTGTAGGTACTGGCACAGCATCACAGCTCACAGGGACCTCCCCAGGGAATGCTGCCTCCTGCCCCATCAGTAGCCATTGTCTGGTTCTCTTGATTAATCCGCACAGCCTGAACCTGTAGAGTGAGGATTATCTCCTGCATTTTACAAATTAGGAAACCAAAGAGGTCAAGAAACTTGTTCCAAAACACTTAGCTAATAATTGACAGAGGAGTATCAAACCCAGGGCTGACTCCTCTGCTCTTTCCATTCTCTGAGGCTTTTCTGGTCTCCAAGGCAGTTCTCAGGACATTGTTCCACATTGTCCCTCCTCTGTGCCTTAGCTTCCCCTGGTTGAAAAGAAACAGTCCTCCATGCCTGCACTGATGGCCTACCTGCCCCTGTCCCTTGCAGGCTGCCAAGGTAGGGTCTCCAGAGTGCTCTGAGGGCTCCTTGGAGAAAAGCTCCAAATCTGGAGTGGCCAGTTCTGAGACCAGCTGTGAATGCACCAGGTGGCCTCCTGGAGTGGGTAAGAAGAGTGTCTTCCCCTCCAGACCACAAAGAATGGAAGAAAGCTACTTGGGGAAAAACCGCAGTTAGAGGTGTGCTAGTAAATATTTAACAACTGGCTCTCTGGGAGTGGGGTAAGGGGAGGGCAGGGGTAAGCCCTGATTTGCCGAATTGCCAGTCTCCATGGTGTAAATGCTCCCACCATGGCTAATTTCAAGCTCCCAATGTCATGTCAACCGGCTTGCAAAATTTCCAAAAATTTATCAATTGGCTTTTACAAGCCAGAACAAGGCAGTTCCAGCCCACTGCTTAATAGCTGCACCCTGCCCTGGTCTACGCTGATCCTACTCTTTAGGCTGTGCTGCCCAGTAACATCCCCCCAAAAAACTTACTTCAAGTTATCCCATCCTCCTGGCCCCCAAACCCTGTGGACAGCTGCAGGTCCTCTCCCTTGAGCTCCAGTTCTTGGGAAGTGGATGTCTCTGGCTAGAAAAAGAAACCTATTTGGGGATAAACACTCATTCTCCAACCTGCAGGAAATGCAGTTTGCTGACTTGGCCCCCATGAGCTACATAAATTTGAGTCATCGTCCTCCTCAGACCAGCTCCGCTGTCTTCTTCCCGTCCTTCTGCCAGTCACAGCCTCTCAGCTGGGGCCTCTTGGGACACTGGCAAGTGTCCGCTTTTGATTTACATTTTATTCTGAGCTTTTCTCTTTCACCCAAATGGACCCTCCGCCCGACCTTTCCCTGAAGTCCTGCCTAGGAAGGGGGAGGTGGGAGGAAAAGAAGCACCTCCTTCAACCCTCTTCATCTCAGGAGCTCAGCTAACAGAAGCCACTCATGGATTCCTTCAAGGACACAAGGAAATTCACTCCTAGTGGGCAGAGCAGAGCACACTGCTCCCCCTACATTTCACCCTCAAACGAGCTGTGCAGACATAGCTGTGCCTTGCTTTATGGCAGAAGTACATTCCGGAAATCTCGTGTTTAATAATAACAACCTCTCCTCCATCTGTGAAGCACTCTAGAGTTTCCAAAGCATTTTTACATACTACACATCGTCGAATCTGAGCCTCTCAGCAGTGCTGTGTGGTGGGTGGTGATTATTAAAACACCCTCATGGTGTCTGAGCCTGCCAGAGTTGGAGGGGACTTCAGATGTCATGTAACCAAGCCACCCAGCTGAAGCTCCCATCTTCTCCCTGGTGGCCCAGCTGGTCAGTCCGACTCTACTTGGCCTCTGTAGTGGCAGGAAATTCACCTGGAGAGGGGGGCAGCCCACTCCAGCCTTAGAGAATTGGAGGCTTGGAGAGGTATTATTTAGGTTGTCTCCTTGTTACAGATCTAATGCATTGTTTGTAGTTTGGCCCTTCGAGTCATACAGAACTGATATAATAAAATCCCCTCATTCAGATATTCAAAGGGGGCTCCCATGTTTCCCCCAGCCCCCAAACCTTGTTTATATCTTCCAGGTTCCTTCAAATATTCCTCATACAGTGAAGCGCAGAATCCCTTTACCATCCTGGCTGACTCTGCTTTGAACGTACTTTCATGTACTTGTTTAATCAGAGTAGTGCAGGACCGGAAGTTTCTACGTGCTGTGAACGATGCCTTTGCTAATGCATCCTCAGCTAGCACTAGTTTAGGTTGGATTTTTTTTTGACAGACATTACACTTTGGATATAGTGAGCCAGCTGTCAACTAAAACACAGCTACTAAGCCATGTCTCTCCTTCTCTGCACTTCAATATTGATTTTTCTTGGTCCAAATGTTAGAAGTGTTAAATTTTAACTTATTAGATGAAGATTAATCTTATCAGATTTAGCCCCTTGCCAAAATCTGTAAAGATCTTTTGGATTCTAGTTTCACGGCATTCATAAATTTCTTGAGCATTTCTTTAGATGTTCTCTAAATCACTGATTAAAGTGCTGAATAAGAGGATAAGGAGGAAGCACGTGACGCTCTTCTGGAAACCTGCCCTAAGCTGACATCTATCCTTTAATTGTCATCCCTTGGGTGTAGTTTGCTAATCCATGCAATTGTCCACCAGGCTGCCTCTCTCCACATTTTCTGCAAGGCTATCGTGGGAAATACCTTGCTGAGGTCACTTACACCATGTTTTCCTGATCTGCAAGCTTACTGATCATGTCAGATCCACAAACTGAGCTTTCTGATAGCAGGCACTCATCTTTGTGACCCCAGTGCTGAGCACGGTGCCTGGTACATGGCAGGGACTCAAGAAGTTTCTGAAGAAATGATCCGCTGCATTAATGAATGAAGGGATGAATCTGGCCCAGATTTGTGTGAAGATTACTGGGTTGTAGTTTTTTCATAATTCACTATCTTTCTCTATTTTGAAAATTGGAACAGCATCTGCTTCTACTTTCTTTCTTACAGCACCTCCTTAATACTCATGGATCCCAAAAAGTCACCAATTTGCTTACTGATGAGAAAATAGGAGCTTAGGAAAGTTAAAGAATTTTCCCAAGGTCAAAGGCTAATAGAGGAGACAGTAGGATTCAAGAAGTTGTCTTCTGGCTTCCAGACACCATGATGCTATGTCTAGTCTCTTACCCACTGAGATTGGAAAGGCTCCCCCGGATCAGCCAGCAGTGGCAAGGGTATTTCTTGATTCCTAGATGGTATTATAAACAATGATACCATCTAGGAAAGCAGGTACATCTCTTTTACAGTCTCAACCTCATTCACCACCCATGATTCATCTATTCATTGATTCAACAAATATTTATTGAGCACCTACTAGTACCAGGCTATTCTGGGTCCTAGGAATGCAACTGCTGCAATCACTCCATGAGCTTAAGTTTTAGCTGGGAGTGAAGAGAAAATCAATAAGCATGTAAATATAGAATATGGTCATGGTAAGGGCTATGAAGAAAAATAAAGCAAAAGGCAGACAGAGGGGCTATACATACTCCAAAGAGGTGGCATCTGAGCGGAGATCTAAATGAAGAAGACATGCAAATGTCTGGGGGATATATGCACCAGCAATGCTTGTATTCATAGAAGTTTAATACTTTTTCTTCCAGAAAGCAGGGACCTAGATTTATATGATGAGCTGTGCAATTGTAAAATATCTGATTCGTTCAAGCCATGTTCATTCATTTATTCACTCACTCATTTTACCCGCAAATACCTTGATTAAGCGTCAAACCTTTTTATAAGACTGTGCCAGTTGGAAGCTGGGGATGAAGGAGTGAACAAGTCCTCAGAGGAGAACACAGATAAGTACATGCAGCCCAGCAACACAGCGTGGGTAGAGCTACCTTTGTGCTATGGATGCAGTGATGTAAGAGAACAGTTAAGGCTTATCATCATTCACACTTTTAGAGATTTATTTGACTGAAGGAAATAAAAAAGCACGAAACTCCATAATAAGAGTTTAAAAAAATTTCTTAAACCATTGAACCATTTCTTTAAACAAAACCTTAGATAGAATGGATAATATTAAAAGGAGTTGCTCTGGTTGGCACAAAATTGCAGGCCTTGGGACACCTTCAAAAACATGTCACAGATTATTAAAACCCCTGCTCTAAATATTAGTTATGGCCAAGAACAAGAATCTGTCCATTACCCACTAAAGTATGCCTATCTTCACATGGCCAGTAAACCAGATTTGGAGAGCCATTCAGTCATCAGTCAAAAGTGTTCGAAGTGTTGCCTGTCGCTTGCATTAAAGGGAATAAATAAACCTGTGTCCAAATGGCAGCTGATTCAGCTTCCTTTTTTTCTACTTTTCAAAGTCATCAAAACAATGTATCACAGTCCAAACCATCTGTAAGCACAATTTAAAGGGTTCATCCTATTGTTTTTTTCTACTTCTGGGCAAAGGTTACCACATTTGCATTAAGAGTCATCTCTTTTCAGATGTGCTGGGCATCTCCTAGTTTTGGATGACCCGAAATTGTTTTCTAGAACATGCTCATTTGAAGAAAGCCTGATTTTCTTCCAACTGTAGCACACATACAAATGGATGCTCATTGTGTGCTCACAGTTCTCTTGCCCATGTGCTCTCCTCCGGGTACAGCACAGGCCAAGGCAGACCTCACACTACAGCCTGGAGACCAGCACCCTGGCCATGCTAACCCACCACCTCCCCTTTCTTCTCTCTGCAGATGACAGCAACCACCCAGCCACCCTCCAAGGCCCAGGCTGTCCACATCTCCACCCCTTCAGCTGCTGCCAGCACACCTGTGCCCAGTGCCCCCATCGACCCCCAGGCCCAGCTGGAGGCTGACAAGCGAGCTGTGTACAGGTAGGAGACACTTCAGCTGTGTCCACAGCCCTCAACCAGCTTCAGGCCCAGCTCAGCCATGAGAGATGAGAATGCAGGCCTAAGGGTGGGCTCGACAGAGATCATGGCCAATAGCTATTCTCCCTCAGCCCACTTCCTTCTCTAGTCAATCCAGAAACCCCCAGCTGGCCACAGTGACTCTAGCTTTTTGGGAATATCTATGGAGGGATATAGAGGCCTAGGCAGCATCTTCCAAGAGAAGCACTCCCTATCTCAACCAGGGAGATAAGCCTTAATGGGTATCAGAAACCCTCTGCTCAGCCAAGAAGCCAACAGACAGCTGCCTCAGGATCCTCTCCTCACCCTGTGCCCCGCTGTTGCTTTCCCTCCATCAAGCCCACTGGAGCACTGGACCTCTGACTGCACTCTAGGACTTGGCAGTCCACAAACTTTAGGAGGCCTGAAAGTCACAAGGAGAGCTTGTGTTTTACATGATTCTGGGTTCCATGCTCAAAGATGCCAAATCAGTAGATCAAGCTATAGGAAGAGGGATATGCATTTTTTTAAAAAAGCGTTCCAGGTAAATCTGATGCAGCTGGTTATTGGACCCCACTTGGATTCATGGTAGTCTTTGCTTTTAAACAATAGGTATTGGGTGTGACTGTAGGTTCTGCTGAGAGCAGACAGCTTGCTTAATCTTGTTCTGCATCTGCCCCAAGCATCCAGGACTGAGTCTTGAATGTTGCAGAGGTGGGATGGGGCTCAGGGAAAGGCCTATCTCCTTGATAAACTTCCGTTCTTGTACATGGTTGGGGAGGAAGATGCTGTCACCTGAGAATAGGCTTGAATGAGACTCCTGCAGGGATTTTAGTTATCTTTAACCACTAAGAAGAGGTGCTCCAGTCTGCACTCAGTGTTGAGGCTGGAGCCTTGCTCACATTCCCTCCCTTGTGGGAGCTTATATGTTCACATGCATCAGTAAGTGTGACTCGCCTCTGGCTGGGCATACACTGCAGCAGGTATGAATGCCAGTAATACGTGGAATGATTCACCCAGGACTAATGAATAGGAAGATTGATTTCTTTCTGACTCCTCCCCCGCCACCCCAATAACAGTGCCTTTATGGTAATGCTGGTAATTAGGGCTGTTACTCTCATTCTCATTGGCATTATTTTTAGTTTCTCAGATGAGCTGAATGCTTCTAACACCAACAGTTGGGAATCCAGAGCAGTGGGCCCTGATCACGGATTCTGGCACTGGGGATCTCCCAGGCCCAGCAGAGGGACAAAACACAGCACCTGTGCCCTGCCCTGTGAAACACACAGGCCAGACCCAGCTGCCTGCCCATGGAGAGCTCTGACTTGGGCCCCAGAGAACTCCAGGACCTGGTCACTGTACCTGTCAGGGAGACTCTAAGAAAGGTCAAGCTAGCAGCCCCAGTGTGGGGTGGGCCTCCTTTCCTCCACCCTTCCTTCTTTACACTGTCTCAATGAATCCTTACTATTCCTACGTGCAGGCTGTGTTAGACTCCTGTGGAAGGAGGGTCGATGTACAGGCTCTTCCCTCCGTCTCTCCAGGCACCGATAGTTGTACAAACAAGAAACCAGTGCTATGTGGTCAGAGCAACAGGGAAGGCTTCACAGAGGTGCGATATTTGAGTTTGGCCCTAAAAATTGAGTAAAAGACCCCACTAGGTGGAGAAATGTGGTGGGAAAGGACCTTCCAGGAACAGCCAGTGGCCATAGAAGTTGGGAGTGGGGAGATAAGGCTGCACAGCCACCTATAATTAACCAGCACAAGGTGCAGTGGGCTTGTGCTTTTGCAGGGAGCATGAGGGAAGGGAGTAATGTGGCCTCTGAAAACTGTCCAACTACCTGATGACATATACTTGTCATACTGTTTGGAGTATTGTTACTCAAAGTATGGCCTATGGACTGGCAGCATCGTGTCACCTGGGAGCTGATTAGAAATGCAGACTCTCAAGGCCCACTCAGGCCTCAGGACTCACCATCTGCCCTTTCACAAGATCCCAGGAGATTCCTATGCATACTGAAGACTCACCTCACAGTTACTCAGACCTCTGGGGCAGGGGCCTGTGGTGAGCATAGATCTTGGTTTAGAAAGACCCCCCAGATTAGTGGTATAACAGTTTTTGGAAACCTAGGTTTCCAAACCCACCTCCACTGCGTCCTAGCCTCTCTGAGCTTCTGTGTCCCTATGGAACCTAAGCAGCAGACTTGATAAGTCAATGAGACAGCCCATGGAAGCACCTGGCCCCGCATCTGGCACCAAACAGATGGGTTTACTCCATCCCACCAATGGGAACCTTGGGTTCCAAAGCCCTTCTTACAATCCCAGGCTCATACCCTACTGAGGCCAACCTGCAAGAGAGGTGGGTCATCGCCCCCATGGGAGCCACCACATGGATGTCACTTGAAGTATGGCCCAGATTTTTCTGCAATTAACATTTCTGCTTATTTCCCTTCCCTCCATGGCTTTATCTTCTCCCACGGGGTTGACCATCCACAACCCTTGGTGTTTGCCCAAAGTATGTCTGCAACTGTCTGACCCAGAAGCAGGTATCCCAGGCAAAGGTGGCTGCCGCAGCACCTCAGGACACCGAGCTGACAGCAGCACCATGCTGGCTTCCCCGATCTCCTGTCCTGCTGCTGCTTCTGGCCTGGCAGCCCCAGGGTTGTCTCCCACAACCACACCTCTCTCATTAGTACCAGCCCCTCTCTCTGCAGCCATTGTCCGGGGATGACCAGGGAGGGAGCTCAGCCTCCTGTAGGGTCGGGTAATTTTAATTAGATTTGCCTGCCTGGGGCAGCCTGGCTGCTCCAAAGCACATCAGGGAGTCGGAATTTCATGTCAGCAAATGTAACCAGACCCTTTCCATTCAAATGAGTGGCCCACACTAGCTTTTGGGAGCCTCCATAACCGCCCTTCCTAGAACCACAGATGAAGGAAGGGTGGGGGTGACCCCTCCCTGCCTAGGCCCCTGCTGGGTGGCAGAGGGGCAGTATGACAAAAGGGAGGGAGCCTGCCAATGCCCAGGGGGTTTTATTTGTGTATGAGGATGTGTTAATGAAATGTACTGGTTCCCTTCTGATGTGGAAACTGTGGGGTGGGGGACGGAGGGCAGTGTCTGTCTTTAATTGGATCATACCAGAGCATCATCTGGACTAATCAGCAAAGCAACCAGGGGCTCCCGCTCAGATTAATGATTGCAGTCTAATCCGAGCAGATCCCATGATTGGATGCACATCGTGGGTAATTGTGTTTATGGCCCAGGAGCAGCAATGAGAGGGGGTCCAAAGAGGGGAGGCCGGTGGAGTGAGGGACCACAGGTTTGGACCCAGCTCAGTACTCTCCTTCCTCAGCCCCCACCTCAACCCTGGGGTTTTCTCCCAAAGAAGTTTCAGCTTAGCTTGAACCACAACACCCACCTGCCCATGTTGGTGATTGGTCGGATGTTAGGTGCTGCCTAAATCAGGGGATTAGGCTGCCAGAGGCACAGAGGCAGGGCCAAGAGGGTGAGGTTAATCCAGATTTCCCTCCCCCTCCTCCCCTCCAGTCTCCTTCGTTCCCCTTTGAAGTGAGTGGGTTCCCATGGAAACCACGGTGTCCTGAGGAGCGGAAGAGTGGCAGGAGCTAGGCCTGGCCAGGTGCTGGTGGGGGAGGAGGTTGGCTTTGCGAAGACTGCTCTGCTAAAGTGCTGGCTCCCTTCCCTAAGGTGGAAAATCTCTCTGAGAACCAGGGACACGGAGGTGCTAAAGTCATTGCCCATTATTGATAAGGAAAAGCTGAGCTGGAGGCATGAGCAGTGAGAAAACAGTGAGGGCAGTGGTGCTCTGCCTTTCCATTAAAAACCTAGAGAGTGGAGCTGCAGGTCACGGGGAGAGGGTGAAGTGGCTTCTGGGCCCTGCCTGTCTCCTTTGCAGCATTACTCACAATTGAATTAACTGCGCTAGCATTTGTGTCAACCTTATTTGTTTCCCCTCCTATACTGTTAACTCCGGAGGACAGAGTCTGCATCTGTCTTGCTCATTGCTTTATCCCCAGCATCTTACATGATATCTTAGAGTCAGCCGCTTAGACGAAGTAGCTGCTGCCTCGAAGCTTGTTGGACTTCATTAAATAGGTTACGGAGCACCCCATAAGTACACCATAGTTCTAGGTTGCTGTGCTGGCAAACATCTCTCGAGGCAGGAAAGGGGAGCAGCTCCGGTGATTTGTAGCATTCTCTGATCCCAGTGATGTAAATGCTTGCACCATGGCCCATCCCACACTGCCCACCTGATGTCACCGAGAAGTAGCCGGCCTCGAAGTGCAAACCCCACCAGGGAGCCAGGTTCCAGGCAGTCAGTCTCTAGATTTACGTGGGTAAGCCCATCTTACAGGTCAGTTCTTTGGAATGGTCTTACTGATACTTTTAGCCACGATCCTACATTCTTGGTCTTCACTGTCCGGTCTGGTCCACTCCTGGGTTCTAAATTTGAAACGTTCTCTCTCAATCAATGAACTCTTGGAACAGCACCTGATGTGCATAGATGCCTCATAAGTGTCCGTAGTGATGATTTTCCACCTGAATGCCAAGGCAGTCTATCTCTTTCCATCTGCTTCAGGAAAGCCCCACCTTCACTCCAAACTTCTCCATCTTTTCTAAGTTGCTTCCAACCGTTTCCTGGTCTATCAGCAAGTGATCTCCTTCCTCGCAGCTCCAGAAACCCTGCCTCAAACCATTCTTCTGCCTCCTGTTTAGTTTCTTAGCTCTGAGAATTTTAGTCTTTCCATACCATGTGTCCAGTTTCTGTCAGTCTCATCTCCCACATATCACAAGCTCAGAACTTCTACCCACATGGGACCACCAGAGAGCTCATGCAGAAGTCTAGCTCTAGTTTAATAAAAACAATGTGAGTTTCTGGAGCACTATTTATAATGCACTTGTTTCTAACTCCTGCAGACTGGATGAGCAGAATCCATACTTGTGTGTGGAAGGAGCAGAGCAGGACAGTAGG